GCCCGCGGCCCGCGCCGCCGCCATCTTGCCTCCGGGCGGGCCCAGCGCCGCCATTGGCCGCTGCGCGCGAGGCGTCGCGGCTCCACCAATCGCAGGCGGGCACGGCGGTGACGCGAGAGGAGGGGCGGGGCCTGCTACGCTGGAGGGTGGGAGAGACCATGGTGGGCGCGGGGGGGGGTGCGGGACGGCACCACCCGGCTGCTGCGGGGGGGAATGACATTTTCTGGGATTTTGGGATTTCGGGATTTTGGGATTTCTGCTTTTCCAGGGAATTCGCCGCGCGGTTTCATTCCCGCCCTGCATCTCACTGGCCTGTCGTGTGGCGTTTTAGGTCCGGTGAAGTGGCTGCTTCGGTCTGACACAGGAACTGTTCAGACTTTTAGAATGAAATAAATTAAATAAATTAAAAATTGCCTCCAGGCAGCGTGGCATTTTCTGCACCAGACGCTATTATTTGTCCTCTTTTTATTTATAGTGCATAAAGCCCATAAATAGTGCTCCAGACTGGAGTAACACCTCTCATGTTATTACTATTATTCTCCACCCCACTTACTCCCATATGGAGCACTGAAGAATAATTATTAATGAGTAATTATGCAAATATTCTATTGCATATGCAAATATACTACTGCATATGCAAATGAGGGGGCAAAATCTTTTCCTACTGCCACCTCATAACAAATATCAAACACCTGCAGCACAAAGAACTGCAAAAATAAATTCAAAACAAAAACACATTTATAAAATAGAACAGCATTGGAAGAGTCAAAACCCAAACCCCAGATCCTACCTGGGTGGGATTTCCCCTTCCCCAAACCTTCCTCTGTATTCTTGCATCCACGTGGCCTTGGAAAGCCACACAATGGATGAATTTGCTGCTGTAAATATTTATCTATTTCACAGCACCTTCCTCAGACTGGCTGCAGGGAAATCACCTGAAAATCACTCATTGTTTTTACAGAAATCTGAAACCCAACTCCAGCCCGTGCCTGTTGCTTCTGCACTGTCTGAACCAAGGTCTTGCTTGGCTTTCAGGGCTGAGAGCCAGGTTTTACCCACAAACATGTTCTGGAAAACAAATGCAATTTATTATTGGGTGTTTCCCCGACCCCCCATTCCAGTAACAGATGTTCCAAAAGATCTTACAAAAATCATCAATTCCTGTAGAAACCGTTGGCAATGATGAAGTGCTTGTCCTGCAGGTTTATTTGCACATTTTGCTATATAAAAATGTCACCTCCTTTTACATCTCACAACTTTTCCTTGCACAGAAAATCGCTGTAAACAATTTACTACCAAAAATTCTTCTGCCACTTCAGCCTCCTGTGAAGGAATGAGAAGTTCCTCGGTTTTTGCTCTTTCCACCACTAATAAATAGAAGTCATTAGAGCCAGTTCAGATGTTTTCCTGCTCTCCATGACCTTCCCAAGCACGAAGCTGAGGAAATCTTTGTCCAAGCTGCTTTTCCCCCCAGATTTCCTCCCCAGGTGCTCAGGGTGAGGCTCTGTCCCAGTGCAGCAGCTGCTCACAGCCAGGACAGGATGGAGCTGAGCATCCCAGGGACAGACAAAACATCCTCCAGCTCATCCAGGCTTTGCCTGCAGTGTCATGAAGGTTTTTCTCCTGTAACCACAGTCATTTCTCCTGTCCTCAATGATTTCCTTGCAGCAGCCCCAGCCCAAGCCCCAGCAGGATCTGGGTGCTGCTGGATTGGCAGCAGGGGAGGGGAATTCACCTGGTGCACCCTGGGCTGCTGCACGAGGGAGGCAAAGCCTTGGGCACAAGGCAAGAAAAGCTCTGCAGCACAGGCACCTCAGGATTGTCAGCCTGGAACGTTCCAGGGCAGCCCCAGGCAGGCTGACAGGGCCAGGAGGGCTCAGCCCCTCCTTGCCACATGCCCAGGGCCCAGTTTGACAAACATGGCCCCAGGCAGAGCCACTGGTGTCCCCCAGCTGCAGCTCTTGCATGGCTTTAGTGCTTGCTGTCCCTCTGCCAGGACTTGGCCCCCTGATGCAGTTTTTCTGTGCATGCCATGGGATGACATCCCTGATGAGACCAGTTCACTCTGGATGCTGCAGGGCAGTCAAGCAGAAAGAAAACTTCTGATGCATACACTGGGAATCTGTTTAAAAACTGGAATTACAGATTTCTGTCAGTTTTCTCCTTTCTGCCCACACTGCTGGTTCTCTTCTCTGGTGTCTGGTGGAGATGCCCAGGGCTGGTGTTCTGCCAGCTCATGGTTTAATTTTCCATAACTGCAAAGAGACAAGAAAGGGAGTTTGGCTCTCACAGGAATGGTCTTTATCTCCAAGTAACACTCTGTGCCTCCTGCCCATCCTGCTCTGCTCAGTGAGCTCCAGTTCCAGGCTGAGCCACAGCAGGACTGGGATAAAGGGAGGAGCCCTGGATTCTCACAGCTTCACCTGAAGGGACTGGAACTGAAGTGAGCCCTGTCCTTCCCCCCAAAACTGGCTCAGGGAGGTGGGGACACAGGCAGCACCTTCTGGGGTCTGTCCCAGTGCACAGCCAGGCCTCCCCCAGGGCTGTGAGCCCAAGCTGGGACACTTACTCTGATATTGAATCCCAGCAGGTCACTGATCACTCCTGAGACAGCAGACAGGATGACAACACGTGTGATGTTGTAGATCAGTGGGTTCATGGTCAGCCCATAGAGCCTGAATGGACTGTCCAGCTCCTGCAGTTTTTATCTCTGTGTCTCCTGCCCATCCTGCTCTGCTCAGTGAGCTCCAGTTCCAGGCTGAGCCACAGCAGGACTGGGATAAAGGGAGGAGCCCTGGATTCTCACAGCTTCACCTGAAGGGACTGGAACTGAAGTGAGCCCTGTCCTTCCCCCCAAAACTGGCTCAGGGAGGTGGGGACACAGGCAGCACCTTCTGGGGTCTGTCCCAGTGCACAGCCAGGCCTCCCCCAGGGCTGTGAGCCCAAGCTGGGACACTTACTCTGATATTGAATCCCAGCAGGTCACTGATCACTCCTGAGACAGCAGACAGGATGACAACACGTGTGATGTTGTAGATCAGTGGGTTCATGGTCAGCCCATAGAGCCTGAATGGACTGTCCAGCTCCTGCAGTGACAGGACAAGGCTCCATCAGCACCCAGGAATTCATCCTCTGACTTTCAGCTTAGCTCTGGCACTGCCAGTGTGCCAGAGACATCTCCTGCTGAATGCAAAGGCTCTGCAGCAAGCCCAGAGCCTGACACCCCAGGCTGCAGAATCACCCAGCCCAGACTCTGCTCACTCCTTCCCAAACCTCTCCTGCTGCAGCCTCAGAGCTGCTGGAGGAAAACCAGACTGGAGCAGTCAGGAGAAGCTGTGCCCACCCCAGCCTCTGCTCATCAAGAGTTCCCAGCACTAATTACCCACACTGGCCTTGTGCTGCTCCCTCTCCTGTCACAGCTGCAGCAGCACTGAAAAATCCCCTCTGTGAGCACTAACTCAGAGGCAAGGGAAGGGCAGGGCCACATGGCACTGCCACAACTCCCTGCTGCCAGAAAATCCAGGCATTCAGGCACAGCCCCTCACCTTCAGCAGCTTTGTGGACAGTTTGAGCACATTGTTCACCAGAGAGAGCTGCTCCTTCTTGTTTGGCTTCTTCTCCATCTTCAGGTACAAGTTTATCTGTGACAGACATCACAGGCCAGGGGTTGATTCCAGCCCCCAGCTGATTCCTAACTAAGGGAAATTGGAGCCATTTTTGCAGTCTGCTGTCACTCCTGAGGTAGTGAATTTACCACTGATAACATCATTCTTTTCCACTTGTTTTGGCTAAACACACATGAACCCAGAGACCAAAATAATCTAGAATTTTGGAGTCTGAGTCTGCCCCACCAGGACCAGCTCACCCCCCATGCTGCCCAGTGCTTTGTTGCCTTCTGGCCAACACAAGGGTTGATCCCTACAATTTAAACTGGATTCCAGTATTTAAGCTGGTTTGAAATACAGTAATTATATCCAAACAAAGCACAAAGGCCAGGGGAGAACAAGCTGAAGGGAGCTACCTGCTCAGTGAGCAGGATGGAAATGTTGCTGTATTTCTTGTTGGTCTCAGAGCCCAGAGATGCCAGACGTAGCAGGAAGAGGAGCAGTGCTGCCTCCCACATCAGGAACTCCCAGTTGTAAGCTGCACTCAGAAAGGTTTTGTGACCCTTAAGAACCTGTATGGGGAGAAAACAAAGCACCAAGTGTCACTAAGTGCCTGTTCCTGGGACAAGTGCACAAGCACTGACCTTCTCCTCCTCTGCCCAGCCCTGTGTGCTCTACAGCTCTTCCCAGGAAGTGTAAATCACTCCTGTGATGGGGTTACAGCCAAAGGTCTCATTTCTAACCTGTCTTTAGCTTGGAATTGGATATTTTTTCCTTCTGCTCAGCAAAGGAGCCTTTCCACAATGACGTGCCTTTCCTTGTCCCTCTGGCAGTCTCAGCCAAGCCTTTTGTAGGTGAAAGAAAAGCCTCCAGCACTTGGGAGGCTTCTCCCTACTTTATACACCACAAAGGTTAAAATCTCACCTGGGCACAGCAGATAAAAGCAATTGAAAGAGCCAGCAAAAAGACTGAGGACACCACAACATCCACAGACCTCTGGGGGCCTCGTCTCTGCAGACACAAGGACACAGGGTCAGGGCTGAGTGTGTGCAGCAAAACTCACCACCAACAGCTGGCACTGCCACTGGCACTGCCACTGGCACTGCCACTGGCACCCCCTCTGCAATAACCAAGCCCCAGCTCAGGACTCACCTTCAGGTAGGAGCGAAGGGATAACCAGATCTTGATGTTCTCCACCTTCTTGAGCCTGAAGTGAGGGATTTCATATTTCCTGGCTTTCCGAGCAGATGTGATGTGACTAAAGAGCTTGGCAAACAAAAACCTCTGCAAGTAAAACCCAGAACAATAAATCAGTGGAAAACAGAACAGACTGCTTGGGATTCTTAGTGGTACCTGGCAAAAAGGGTCACTGGGGAAGCTCAGCATGAGACCTGAGTGCTCAACCTCTGTTTTCATAGAAATCCACATTAGTTTGTATTGGGAGGGACCTTAAAGCTCATCTTTTCCAGCCCTTGCCATGGGCAGGGACACCCTCCACTCTCCCAGGTTGCTCCAAGCCCTGTCCAGCCTGGCCTTGAAGACTTCCAGGGATGGGGCAGCCACAGCAGAGAAGGGACACAGTAAGACCTTGGGGACAGGTAAGGGGGGGAACAGGTGAGTCAGGAATGCTGTTGATAGGTATAATTTGGGACTGATCAATAAGAGCCCTCCCAGACTCCCCTCCCTGACCTTGGCAAGGGCTGGGATGAGATGAGCTTTAAGGCCATCATCCCATTTTTACTCCTGCTCTCCAGCTTCCTGAAAGGCACCTTTAAACCCACCTGCTTGTAGGTTCTCTCAGCAACACACATCATGAAGAAAAACATCCAGGTCAAGCACAGCCTTTCCAGGAAGTTGATGGCAGACAGGATGAGCACAGAGGTGCTGACAGGTGCCCCACAGAAGATGTGCAGAAGCTCCACCAGAGAAATGGAGCAGAGCTGCTCCAGGTTATCCGTGCGGAACAATCTGTAGAGGAATGGCAGGAAGGCCAATCCAATGGTGATGATGTTTCCCAGCATTTGATACCCCACTCCTTGCTGGTGGGCATTAACCTGGCAAGCAGGAATAAAAATGGGATGATTAGCTGGGGTTTTCATCAAGGAAAAGGCCTGTTGTGGTAGCACCAAGTCAGGCAAGCAGCTGGTTCCCCTTCCCTTCACAAGAGCCTAAAATAATCCACCCATTTCAGTCCAAACCCAAAACCAATCAGCCAAATAATCAACCCCCCACTTTCAGCACCCTGCAGAGACAATCAGTGATAATTAGCACTTGTCAGTCTTCAAGAGACCTCCTAAATTGGGGGCTAGGCAATTTTTCATAAGAACACATGAGACAACCATCTTTGCAGCTGGGGAGGGACCAGTTCCATAGCACCCATAGTATTTGCAGGTGCAGCTGTTTCCAGGGGTTTGGTGGCTGTGTTCTGAAGTGGGAGGGAGAGGTTGCAATGCCACACAGCCCCCTTACCCTGCTCATGATGATGCCACTGATCTCCAGCACGGACATGTCCACCTTCTTGCAGTCATTCCCCTCCCAGATCAGAGCACTCACTTTGGCAGACGCTGGGCTGGTGTTCTGCAGCCAGAACAGATGGTTCTAGAAAAGAGACAGGAGTGCAAAAGCTGGGTCAGCTCTTTCTGCCTGCTGTAAGTAACACCTTTGCCTAGAGCACATTTGGATGGAGGGGGAAATTCCATTTTGGGTTAAATATTTTGTTTTGGGATATGCAGCCATGCAGAGGGGAGGGATAGACTCGATCATCAATCACTGATAGAATTTTGAGCAATCCAGATTTCCATTGTAACTCTGGCTTCATCCAGGCTGCTCACCTTACACCAACAGCATCTCACGTTTGGGAAGGCAGGGGGAAGAGGGAGAAGAAACCCAGCTCCTGGATGGAAACCCAACCTGCTGGAAGACGTCCTCCTTGGGGTCCCGGCGGGGGTCCCTGCGGGAGCGCTCCTCGCTGTCGCTGGTGCCCGAGGAGCGGCACTCGGGGCCGTGCAGGAGGTCGTCCCACAGCATGTCCTCGGTCTCCGAGTCCTGCCGCGTGCTCTCCGAGTCCCGCCGGCTCCCGCCGCAGCTCCGGGGCCCGCCCAGGCACGGCCTGGGCTCCTGCGGCAGCGGCACGGGTCACACGGCACAGCCCGGCCGCGGCTTGCACGGCCGGCGCCTCCTCCTCCTCATCCTCCTCCTCGTCCTCCTCCTCATCATCGTCCTCCTCATCCTCGTCCTCCTCCTCCCCATCATCCTCCTCCTCCTCATCATCGTCCTCCCTCTCCCCCAGCTTCCCACCATCATCCTCCTCATCCTCCTCCTCCTCATCCTCGTCCTCCTCCTCATCATCCTCCTCCTCCTCATCATCCTCCTCATCATCCTCCTCCTCCCCATCATCCTCCTCCTCATTATCCTCCTCCTCCCTCTCCCCCAGCTTCCCACGGCTTCGAGTGCTCCCAGTTGCACCCACACGGTGGGAATGGTTTAAGACAATGTTTGGGGAAAAAGCACTTCTATACCAGAACTCACACAGAGCCCGTTAATTCCCTACCTCCGTTCCCAACCTACAAAATAAAAACTGATGTACTCATTTTAATATAAAAATGTCATTTTTATGCCTTTTGCATAATCTGTTTTAATATTTCATTTATATTTTGTATTAATATTTGTAACTTGATATTCACATATTAATATTTTATTTTCAGGTAGGGGCAAAAAACCAAAGTAAATGAAGTGACTGAGTGTGTCTCACAGAACAGATTTATTCCTTCATTACAGGAGCTGGACTCGATCCTCGTGGGTCCCTTCCAACTCAGGATAGTCTGTGATTTTAAAATCTAAATTTATTAGCTTAAAAGCTGCAAGCACAGCACTGCCTCCCAACCACAAGAGCGATTGCAGGAGCAATTAGAGGCAGCTTGGACTGTCCTTTGCTGCCAACAGTTACTTATTTGTTTGTTTGTTTGTGGTTTTTTAACAAAGCAGCACAATCAGGATTGTGTACACTGAAGGTTTACAAGGCTGCCAAGCAGCAGGGAGGGAAGAGGTCACAGCTTGCACCTGAGGATTCTGAGCACAATCATTTCATAACTGATGAAATGAGCTTTAAGGCCCCTTCCAGCCCAACCCATCCTCTGGTTCTGTGACCCCTGCCAGGCCTGGGAAAGCTCCTCTCCTGACTTTACAACCATACCTGCCTGTACAATGTGGATTCCAGTTCAGACTCCACAACACTGTCAGAGTCTCTGGCAGCTTTCAGGGCTTGCTTGACCTGCCAAGACCAATGAAAACCACCTCATAATCCACAGCAAAACAAGGTGTGGAGAACAGCACTAATCCCACCTGGGTACCTGTGAGACAGCCTGGTTGAGAGAAACCAGAGGCCTCTTCTTCTTCTCCTCGTAGCTGTTGTCACTGGAAGCCCCTTCCATGCTGGGCCGGAGCAGGATCCTCTGTGCCAGGGCCTCAGCATCCTCAGCATCCTCAGCATCCTCAGCATCCTCAGCATCCTCCTCGCTCGACAGCTCGTCAGAAGCACCGTCCCTGGTGGTGCCATCATCCTGCAAACACACAGCCAAGGCCACACCAAGCACCAGCCTGAGTCCCATCCATCCCCTGGCACAGCCCTCAGTGCCTGCAGAGCCAGCACGTGATCCCCACAGAACAGAATTCTCTTGGCATCAGAGACTTCACAGATATGAACTCCTTCCCACTGCTCTTGTCCTGCCCCAGAGGGAACGAGAGAGAATTTTGGGTGGGTGGATTTGGAGCTGGAAAAGGCAGGAAGAGGAGGATGCAGCAGTGCCTTAGCAGCAGCCTTAAGCCCAGATGTATCTACGAGCTGGGGGGTAACAAACCCAAAATCTGGGGCTGTGCCCCTGCACCAAGCTCTGCCCCATCCAAACTCCTTAACAGAGAGGAGGTGGGATGGCACAGCATGACACAATTCCACACAGGATCCATTCCACATTCTTCATGTGGAGTTGACACACCACTGCCCCAAAGGAAACCAAGAGTAATTCCCAAAATCTTTATGTTTCAAAGCTTTCAACAGAGCTCATAATGCTTTAGCTCTTTCTCTCTCCTCAAGGGATGTCTCAGTCTTGTAAGACAAAATATTTTATGGAACTGCTTTTGAAAATGGCTAATTTATTTAGTCACTATCAGCACTGTCCCTTAACTGAACACCTTGTGATCAGAAGTGTCAACAATTAACAGAGCACTCTGGTAAAACAGACATTCCAGGACTGTGTTTGACCATACTTGGTCAGGTTGGACAGGGATGGAGCACCCTGGGATAGTGCAAGGTGTCCCTGGGTGGAATGAGATGACCTTTAAGACTCCTTCCAACCCAAACCATTCTGGAATTGTATTCTATTAATATGAAAATAAACTACCAGCACCTTTTCAGCTGCTCAGTGAGAGGCAGAAAGGGTTTCTAGGTTAATGCAGGCAAAGATTAACACAAGGAGGGAATATCTTGGATTAGACCAAACCATTCAGTTAAACACCAACACACTTCTGGCACACAAAGAACACTGAAACTGTGATTTCAAAGGATCCCCCCTGGCAGTACCTGATGGCTCTTCTCCTCATCAGAAAGTTTACTTTTCTCTTTGCAGTGCAGCAGCCTGTGCTCAGATCTGGCCTGTCTGGGTTTGATGCCATCACCCACAGCACTCACACCACTTTCTGTCTCAGTCCCTTTCTCAGCTACCAGCTTTACTCCTCTATTCCTAGGAGAGAAAATACAATTAAATGCTTTTATGTCAGAGAAAAACTCTTTGGGGTAAAACAATCTGGTCTTCCCTTGTCACAGGTGCAGCATCAAACAAGATACCTAAGGGATAAATAATTTCCTTTGGCTGACAGGCTTTGTGTACTGAGTCTGTTAAAAGATTTATATCTGCTTCACCCTCACTCAACATGTCTTTTGTAACTCTAATAGTATCTTAAAACTTCTAAATCAAGGGGAAATTTTTCATTATTTTTATTTTTTTTTAAATAAGAGCAATTCAGAAAACAAAAAGTCCTTGTGAAGAGAAAGCACCTGTGAACTGGAAACTCACCATGAAATTCACCTGGGAGAACAGGAGAAAACAATGAAATATTATCCCATACAATCTCTCCTCCTTTTCCTTGAGTTACTTTTAGAGAAGGAAGGTGCCAAAGTGAGACAACTGTCCAAAGCAGAAGGCACAATTGCTTTTGGAAATCACCTAAACCAGCAATACAATCTGAGCACTCTCTCAAACAAGGTCATTTATCTGATAAATAAAAATAAACTCCACCACATTCTGCAGCTCATCCAACACTTGGTTTCACATGATCTAATTTTATACAGGCTAATTTTATATGATCTAATAAGGACATCCTAAATATTCCTGAGGAATCAGCTTCCCACACGACCACAAAAGTTTTAATTCAGAACAAGAGTGACAGGCAGTGGGGATGTCAGTGACAGCACATGCTGTGCCTTCAATCTCCAGGTGCCAGATTGCTCCAGTGTCACGAGCAGCACAAACCCAGCGGGGACCACGCACCTCCTCTGGAAGAGCAGGCTGGACAAATTGGCCAGCAGAGATGCAGCCTGCTCCTCCTTGCTGGCTCTGTCAGAACTCCAGCTGCTGCCATCCACACCCACGGCCTTGCGGAACTTCCTGCGTTTGAAGACAAGGAGGATCAGGCTGGTGTGAGGAGCTGCTTTAAGGTCTTGTTTGAAAGGTCTGAATGAGATTTGAACAGCACCATGGAAACTCAGGCACCATTCCAATGGCTTTTGGGATGCCATGTTCCTGCAGCCATGCAGAGCACTGACTTCCAGACACAAAAATTCTGCCTATGCCCCCAGGACGTCAGGGCATCACTGGGAAAGGAAAAGGGACCAAATCTGGAGGGAATCTTTGCTGCAGCAAGCTGAAGGAGGAAAGCAGGATGCAGTGCCAGCTGTGCCAGCTGTATGCCATGTTCCTGCAGCCATGCAGAGCACTGACTTCCAGACACAAAAATTCTGCCTATGCCCCCAGGACGTCAGGGCATCACTGGGAAAGGAAAAGGGACCAAATCTGGAGGGAATCTTTGCTGCAGCAAGCTGAAGGAGGAAAGCAGGATGCAGTGCCAGCTGTGCCAGCTGTGTGCAGTGCCAGCTGTCCAGCTGTGTGCAGTGCCAGCTGTGTGCAGTGCCAGCAGTGCCAGCTGTGTGCAGTGCCAGCTGTGTGCAGTGCCAGCTGTGCCAGCAGTGCCAGCTGTGTGCAGTGCCAGCTGTGTGCAGTGCCAGCAGTGCCAGCTGTCCAGCTGTGTGCAGTGCCAGCTGTGTGCAGTGCCAGCAGTGCCAGCAGTGCCAGCAGTGCCAGCTGTGTGCAGTGCCAGCTGTGTGCAGTGACAGCTGTGTGCAGTGCCAGCAGTGCCAGCTGTGTGCAGTGCCAGCTGTGTGCAGTGCCAGCTGTGTGCAGTGCCAGCTGTGCCAGCTGTGCCAGCTGTGTGCAGTGCCAGCTGTGTGCAGTGCCAGCTGTGCCAGCTGCGTGCAGTGCCAGCTGTGTGCAGTGCCAGCTGTCCAGCTGTGCGCAGTGCCAGCTGTGTGCAGTGCCAGCTGTGTGCAGTGCCAGCTGTGTGCAGTGCCAGCTGTGTGCAGTGCCAGCTGTGTGCAGTGCCAGCTGTGCGCAGTGCCAGCTGTCCAGCTGTGTGCAGTGCCAGCTGTCCAGCTGTGCAGCTGTGCGCAGTGCCAGCAGTGCCAGCAGTGCCAGCTGTGTGCAGTGCCAGCTGTCCAGCTGTGTGCAGTGCCAGCTGTGTGCAGTGCCAGCTGTCCAGCTGTGTGCAGTGCCAGCTATCCAGCTCCAGCTGTGTGCAGTGCCAGCTGTCCAGCTGTGCGCAGTGCCAGCTGTCCAGCTGTGTGCAGTGCCAGCTGTCCAGCTGTGCGCAGTGCCAGCTGTGTGCAGTGCCAGCTGTCCAGCTGTGCCCCCGGGCCCTGCTGGAGCTCACCTGCGGCGCCGGCTCAGCCCGTTGCTCCCTGCAGCTCTGCTCACCTGCGTGGACACGATCTGGCAGTGAACTGTGCCCAGCAGCAGCATCAGGCACAGGGGTCCCATCACTTCACTGGCACTCACAGCGGGCACCAGGAAGTACAGCACCACTGCTACCACTGCAAAGGGGGACATGGCACCAAGGCAAACATTAATGGGTCTGTCTCAACTCTTTTTACTCTTTTTTTCCTCTGCGTTGTTGTATTATAATTTAATTTCTGCAGTTACTAGTGCCTTGAAATGCACATTAAGCAGGTTCCAGACAAGATCCTCATGCCTTAGATTATGGACTGCAAAATCACAGACTCACTAAGCGTGGCTGAGCCCCCTGAGCCATCGACCCAGCACTGCCAGGGCCACCCCCAACCCGTTCCCCAGGAGCCACATCCATGCTTTCTCTGATGCCCCATTCCTGGCAGTGGAAGGTTCATGGCACAGCCTGTTCCCTCACCTTGCATGACATAGAGCAGCAAGAGCCACATAAAAATCCTCTGGGAGGTGACCTGAATCCACCAGTGGCTGAAGAGGGGGAAGAACACCACCCTCACAATTCCCTTCCTGGTCAGCGACGTCCAGGGGATTTCAGGCTTGGCTTTGGCAAAGGTGGAGCCTTGGAATGAAAGGGGACACGAGCCACCATTAACTGTGAATCCCAGGAGCCCAGCCCTGCCTCGGGCTGAGCAGGGGGTGAGAACAGCCCAGATTTGGGCACCATTCAAAGCCACAGAGCCCCAGCAGCCACGGCACTGCTTGTGTTCTGTCAGAGCTCTGCCTCCGACCCTTCCCTGCCCGCCCAGCACTCCTGCAGAGCCTCCCTGGGCTCCTGCTCTGCTCCCGGTGCCCACCAGCAGGGCAGGCTCTGCTTCCCCCACACAGCGGGGATGCACCTGCAGGATCAGGGCTGGAAAGGGCACACAGGGATCGCCTGCACAGAGCCCCAGCAACCCCACCCCGGGCACCCCGGGAGCGTTCTCCTGGAGCTCTGGCAGCCCCGGGGCCGTGCCCATTCCCTGGGGAGCCTGGGCAGCGCCAGCACCCTCTGAGGGAAGGAGAACCCCTCCTTATCTCCAGCCCACCCCTGCTCTGAGCCATCTCCAGCCGTTCCCTGGTCCCAGGGGAAATGCAGACAAGGGGGAGGAAGAGCGCTGCTCACCGCTGATGAGATCCACGTCGATCAGGTCGGGCTGGATGTGCCCCTTCTTCTTCGGCTTGTTCTTGAAGCCCTGCGGGGCGGAACACACGGTGAGATAGCGGCGAGGGGCGCGGCGGGGCCGCTCTCCCAGCTCCTGCTGCCGGTACCTTCATCTGGGTCTGCTCCACGGCCTTCTCCCACATCTGCTGGTCGTAGGCCCCGATCTGCGGGGAGAGGAGGCTGAGGGCACGGCCGGGCCCGCGCCCGCCCGCCCCGCGCCGCACTCACCTTCTTCTGGTACCATGAAATGGCATCGCGGCAGGCCATGGGGAGCGGCGGGGCCGCACCGGGCCCGACACCGGCACCGGGCCCAGCACCGGCACCGGGACCGGGCCCGCTCCCGTTACCCTGGAAACCGCCCGGCGCTCGACTGCCTCCGCCTGCCGCGCCCCCACACCCACGCAGGCAGCGCCAGCCGAGCGCCGAGCGCCGCCCCCAGCCCCCCCGAGGATCAGACGAGGCCAGGCGGGTAAAGGACAAAATCAGACTTTTGTTTATTAAAAAAATACTTTACAGGAAAAAAATTCTATGCATTCCGCGGGACTATTTTACAAAGAAATAGCTTAACAGTTTGACACTGGTGTACAGTCAGCTACCGAGAGCGCGGGGCCGCCCCACACGCGCGAATGTCAATAAATACACTAAGGCCGCACAAAGCAAACAGTCGTCCAGGCAATTGTACACGTCCTCTGGAGGCAGAGCCCTCAGATAAATTAAAACCACAGAGAAAAAAAAAATAATAATCGTAGCTGCCAATCAAATCAAATGAAACCACGAAACGGCAATACAGGAGTGGGTATCTTTACATGTTGTACAGAGGTGGGGAGGAGCGGCTGGGGGGCTCGGAGCCCAGGGCAGGGACAGGGAGCCATCCCCCGGGTGTTTGGGGTGCTCGGAGCCCAGAGCAGGGACAGAGCGGGCTGGGGGGGACAGGGAGCTGTGCCCTGGCTGTTGGGGTGTCCTGTGCCCTGCTCTGAGCCCACAGCAGGGACAGAGATAGCCCTGGGGGACAGGGAGCCATCCCCCAGGTGTTGGGGTGCCCTGTGCCCTGCTCTGAGCCCACAGCAGGCACAGGGAGCCGTGCCCTGGGTGTTGGGGTGTCCTGTGCCCTGCTCCGAGCCCACAGCAGGGACAGAGCCAGCTCTTGGGGACAGGGAGCCGTGCCCCGGGTGTTGGGGGGCCCTGTGCCCAGCTCTGAGCCCACAGCAGGCACAGGGAGCCATGCCCCAGGTGTTGGGGTGCCCTGTGCCCTGCTCCAGGCCCACAGCAGGCACAGGGAGCCGTGCCCCCGGTGCTGTGCCAGCCCCCAGGCTGCCCAGGCTCGGCCTGGGAGCCGCAGAGCCCAGCTCAGCGCAGCCCAAAGCTGCTCTGACAAAGCAAAGCCGCAGAGCACAGCCCAGCCCTGTGGAAAGTGTCCCTCAGCATCCCCTGGGGACAGCTGGGGGTGCCCCTGCTCCTGGAGCTGCCCTGCAGGAGAGGGGGAAGCAGAGCAGCCCCAGCCCACCTCCAGCACAGCTTCAGCCCTGGCATCTTTTAGTCACCAGCACTTGGTTTAAAGTCCAGCCTAAGCCTCAGCTCTGTGTCACAGAGTGACAGCTGTCCCCAGCACAAAGCTGGAGTGTTTCCTACCTGACACACAGCACAGAGCAGGCCCTCCCAAAGGGAGCACTGAGGAGGGGCAGAACTGACCAGCACATTTCTATTTAGGAACTGTTCTGTGTCTGCATTTCACTGACAGTAACAAAGTTAAGGTGTTGGAATGGACCTTAAAAATCATCCAGCCAGGCTGCCCAGCCTGGCTTTGAAAACCCCCCAGGCTGGGGCAGCCACAGCCTCCCTGGGCAGCCAGATCCTCACCAGCCAGCACATTTCTGCCTCATCTCTCCTCTTTATTTGTACCCATTCCCCTTGTCCTGTCACCCAGCCCCTCTCCAGGGCAGCCCCTGCAGGTCCTGCAAGGGGCTCTGAGGTGTCCACACTGAAATTTCCTCAGCCTCAGAACAAGCCATCAAATGTGGCTCAAAAAATCCCATCAAATCAAAGGTGATTAGCTCATTAAGGAGCCTGCTTTATGGAATCTTAAGAGACATTCAAATAGCAGCTATTTAACATGAGATATTCACAGGTATTTACTGGGTTTGTTCTGCTCAAACACTAAATGGCCTGAACTCATCACTTCCTCTCTAAACTGCTCTAGCTCATAAAAAAAATCAGTGTTCTACAGGTCTTGGGCTGGAAAACATCTGCCTTTGTCCCATCAAGGCTTTGTTCTGGGCAACTGAAGCAATGGCTGGAGAGTGAGCAGCTTCCCAAGCAATCCCTCTCACACCTGACATCCAGAGCCGAGGTGGGATTTGAAAGTCTGCCAGTTTGGTTAAAGCACAGCAAAGCTGAGCATGGATTTAGCCAGAGATTCCCAAACAGCTTGTTCCTCTCTCCCTCAGTCTTCCAAAATAGCATAGCATCAGCAACATTCAGGCCATTCAAAGATACCTTTATTTATGTGCATTTAAATCTGACATTGGGATTTAAGCTAGAAACTGAGCAGGGCACAGAGAGCATGATGCTGCTGGTCATGTCCCTCCATGCAAGAGAAGTCAGAGCACTTTCCAGCTATTTCAGGCTGCTGTCACAGATTTCACTAAAGCTACAGCTTGGAAAGCAGCACAAACCACCCTAGTCCTCCTTCATCCACTTGAAAAGTTGTAAATTAGAATTTAGAGAGGACTTCCAAACGAATTCTCTCCATTCCACTCCAATTTTCCCAACAAACAGCCAGGTGCAGGGGGCTCTCAGTGTTTGCTCTGCCTCTGCAGGCTCTGGGGCCCTGCAGGGTGGCAGTTCCTGAGTGATCAGTGCTGGAGGCAGGGAAGGCCACCCTGGGGACAGGGACAGGCAGGGAGCAGCACGGGAGAGGCGGAACGGGCACGTGGAAGACTCGCAGACGTGGTCAAAAGGAAAGAACACCCCTGGGGAATCTTTGAATGTGAAGGATGAACTGAAACCACTATTGCCTGTGAGGAATTTTACTTTGCACAACCCTTAAAGCTATGAAATTCCTCTCAACATAAAAAGTGGAAAAAACCCACCAGAGAACTGACGGCTCGTCCCCGAGCCGCGCTGAGTCATCTAGAATTTCTGCTAAGATTAAATTACACCCCTGCATGAATCACATTACTTCTCATCATAAAAGCTTTCCATTCTAACACCTTATTTACACAGATTACTAAACGAGTCACTACCACTTCAATCTGTAAATTAGTTTTAAATTGAAATATTTCCTAGTCCTCATTTTTGTACCGAAGACAATACATACATACACATAAGGAGTAATACAGGTTCTAACTAATCACTGCAGTATCTTCTGAGGATTATTTCTCTATCAGTTTAAAATAGTGACCTCTACACTGAGGTGCTAATATGTATATAAAAGCCTACACAAACAATATTGCACAAAGTAAGATTTATAATAGAGTAACATATTTTAGAGACCCTTATAAAGAGAAGAGTAATAATTGATATTAAAAAGATGCATCCAGAACTAACACAGCATCTTTGCTTTTGTCTAGTCTAACATAGTGTTTCAAATCTTTCCTACCCCAGTGAGGATTAGAACAAATGAAGTTATCTGGAGACAGCTTAAGTTGCACCAAACCCCAACTTGTACTCTAAATGTGGGGAGGGGGGAGGGAGAGGGAACAGGGACTTCTCCTTTTGATGACTGGAAAGGGCAGTAATAAATGGGGTGAGTGAAAGTCAAATACAGCTTACACGTTAACATCCAGAAATATTGAAAGATTGTTTAAAAACTGTTGATAGCTGACACTCTACACATTGAGCACGTGCTGCTGATTTTTCCACAGTAACTGGGCACCCAGGAGCTACACATGGAAAAAGCAGTCCAACGCCAAAATACTCTTTATTGTGAAATACTAATACAGAACTTACACAGTAAGGCTGGCCTTATCCTAGGAAGTCAGGTATCAGCTCAATGCTTATTATGTTAAGTGCATCAGTACAAGGGAAAGTGTGGATCCATTGGACACGTTACGACCCCATCAAAACAAGCTGCCAGGGTGGTTAAGTATTTTAAAGCCTTAAAGTGCTCAAAGATAGCAGTTTCCTCCACAAGACTACCAAGAGGTTCTCTAATTTTGACACTAGCATTTATCACATTCAGGGAAGATGTATTTTGGAAGCAAAAACCCCCACACCAAACAACAGAAGCAGTGCTATGAGAAGTGTTAGGTCAGTAAGTCATTGCATTTCAACAGGAATCAGACACTTGCTTCAGTTCTTTTTACAGGTCACCCTTGTAGGAACTGTAAGGAACATCAATTTCTATAGCTTGTATATAAACCAACATGTCAAGAACAGACATACCAAAAAATTCCACAAATCATCAAAAGTGCTGTGCTTTCTCTATTTTTTATCTTTCCTTTTTTTTTCCACTTTTTTTTTTTACTTTTTTTTTTACTTTTTTAAGCAATTAAAATGAGATGGGGAAATCACTTTGCAAGTCTTCTACAAAAGCATCACTTTCTGGTGAAGATTAGAGATAAAGTAAAAGTAGGGAAATAACACTGACCAATGGAGTTCAATCATTTCATATTCCTGGAGGAATTCCAATCTGACTTTGAGAAGATATTCAACATCTCTTTACTTGAACAGAAAGAAGTGGTAGACCACTGTTACAGGTTGTACTAAGGGGTTAAAATACAACTTGAATTTTGCATAATCTGTGTAAAAAAGATATGCTTGACATTTTGGAATGTCACCTTTCTTTATAGAATTATAGGCAAGATTTCTCCAATAAAACATAAGCCAGTTATAAAACTATAACTTCACATCAAAATTTTAAAAAGTTGTTTAAAAAATGTTTGAATATATACATATCACACAGAAGAGCCTGCATGATCCTGTGGATTGTGTTGCTGATCAGACTCTATTTTAAAACCTGGAAGGGGCTGGGCCACCTGATCTGGTTGCACAAGTCCTGATATTGAAGAAACAGAGGAGGAGAGCACCCCTGGGGTAAGCTGAATTTCTAGACCTGGTTCTTCAGACTCTATTTTTACACTCACACCTTGGGGTTCACCTTCTGCCTCTGTGTTTCCAGGAACATCACTGTTGAGGCTTGAATTGCTTTCTGCTTTTGGAGAAGTCTCCCCCACGGGGTGGTACTGTTTGAGTCTGATGTGCCAGGCCAAGCTGCAGACTGCTGACACTGTTTTGAACTGGTGAATGACATTTCTAGGGATGAAGTAGATGTCATTGTCACACAACTGAATCCTAGCATAGCGAATGCCTTCCCGTCTCATTTGGTTTAGTTTGGCTTCGTCCACCCATTGAACACACTGGGAGAAGGAGAGATGGCAAAGTTAGTGTCAGCTCTTCAAAAGCTCTGCATCTTCCTGCTGTCAAGTGGATTCATGTCTAAATCTGAATGTCTCAGTTTCGTGGGTAAAACTCCTAATTCAAATGAGAACTGGACTTTAAAAATGCAATTTCTGATGTGCACATCTTGAGAGGAGAATGAAGAGGTTTCTATAGTTATAGTTAAAAATAACAATGGGCTGCATTTCTTGGGCTGACAGGACTGAGTTTAGATGCTTCCACAGCCTAAGGCAACATCAGACATCAGAAAAAGCAGGAGCAGGCACACAGGGCTTAATCAGCAGATTGTTTTATAACACACCCTGGGACTCACAGCATGAACCCCAGCTTGGGGGAAAGAAAAAAAAAAGTCCCTTCCAACTGAACTATTTTATCCTGAAACACAAGGAAATTTACCCAAGAGAGCTGAGAACTGAGGGGATACAAAAGGGCTGACTTTAGGGAGAGGCTGGGATCTGTCAGAAACTCCTCCCCAAACACCAGGAAGGAGCTGCCAGCAGGGCAGATTTGATACCTGTGACACTGGAGGTTCATGCAGGTCCAGCTGAAGTCTCTGCACAACATCAGTGAAGTCTTCAGCATGAAAACAAACCACATCTTTGGTTATACGAGGCTGGTCACTCCTAGAAAAAAAAGAGAATTCCAGGAATTTTTGAAGTATTTGAGTTACAGAGCATTCCAGCTCTCCCCAGCAGAAATCTCCATTGAACCATTGATTGATTGTTACACTGTGCACAAAGTCTCAACACTCTTCAATAGTGTATTAGTTTGAAAAAAAAGGTATAATTCATATATTTCCCTTTTTTCTTTCTCAATTATTGCTGCATTCACCAAAGAAGGGATGTTTGCATGGACAGTACACTGAAAAGCCTGAGACCCAGGTTCAAACTGCCACTATCAAAGTTCTCTGTGTTCTAGGAACCACAGTTTGCCTCAATTCTTCCATTCTATAATGGGACAGAATAATTCTGCATTAAGGGAAAAATGAAAAATTACCAAGTAACACTAAAGTTGAAGCAGTGAGGAATTTTATTCAACAGTATAGGAAATATTGGCATCTTTTATTCTAATGATGCTATCAAATTTCTAATGTAATTTCTAGCTATTCCAATGATGCAAGTCCAGTTTCTCTGCAAGGTCAACAGCAATATCCTGGGTACAGGACCTGAGAAAGCACTGCAGCTGTGACATTAATTACACTGAGCTCTTAGATGACAGTTACAAAAGCTAGAATTAATATACCTGCTCAGGAAAAGAATAATCAAGGATGATGGTCCAAGTTTAAGGCTTTTGTATGTCACTAAAATATCCTGCAAGTTGCTGTTACAAATTTTTTGCTGCCTCAAGATGGAAAACAGGAGGTACACAGCCTGAGGTTTTCAGCTCTGTGCAGCTTTTGAATCACAGAATTAACTAGGTTGGAAGAGACATTTAAGATCATCTAGTCCAACCTATGACCTAAGACCTCCTCATCAACTAAACCATGGCACTGAGTGCTTTATTTTCAAAAATAAAGTGACTCCACACCTCCCTGGGCAGATGATTCCAGCCACTGTCTCATCATCGCATTTAAACCCCATTAGGTTCATTTTGCAAGGATAATATTTTTTATGTTTTAGAGCAAATAGCTCATCCCAGCAGCACTCACCACTCCCCAAACTGCACAGCCTTGAGCACCCCCACGGCTGCCGTGCTCTGCCAGTCGAAGCCCTGCCCCACATGGTCAGCGTGAGCGCGGGTCCTGTCCTCGAACAGCACCTCGCGGGGCTCGCTGGTCCGAGGTAGGTACTGCAGGTTCTTGATCTCGTTCATGGACCTGCCACGGCACAAAACACACGGTAAAAATGTCCCTGCTGCTGAAAAATTAATGTTTGTATTGAAATAGTCTTAGAATTTTGGGTGCTGCAGGATTTAAGGGAACAAAGCGCTTCCCTTGGATTTTTTCTAGGTGTTGGTTTGGTGAAAACTGAAACAAAACCAGCAAAGTGCAATTCAGGTTATAGGATCAAACTTTACAAAACAAATCAAATCACAAAATTTTTGTGTCACTTGCGCTGGAAGACTTCCTCCAAGAACATACCAGTATGTAAAATAGAGCTATCTTACAGAAACTTCAGTTATTTGGGACTACATCCAAAAATTCTTCTTGAAGTGACAATTAAAATATGCTTCCAAATCTCCTGAAATTTGTTTTAGAGCACTCTTTCAGAGACAGAAAGCAAGAATACACAGTAATTCCTGGGCAGGCAGAGTTATAAGTGCTTTAGCACTGACATTAGAAGGCAGCAGGAGCAGTAGAAGGATCTCTGCTGGTTTACAGCATTTGCCCTCACCACCAAATTGGTTCTTGCCACAAAATAAGATTAATTAAGCCTCCTGCAGGATAATAAAAAGATGTTTTAATCTTAAAGCACGGATCTAGGATATGTGAGAAGTACTGAAAGATACTGTCAAAAGTAGTGTAATAAAATAACCATCACGGGTAACACTTGCTTTATCAGCTGAGCCAATTTGAAACAAAGTGAAAGTGAAACTTAACTCTGAGTTAGTCCTTTGAAGAGCCAGTTACATATCAAGTACTTTGCTTTTGTTCTCCAATCTGACACAGCCTTAACTGCAATGTCTTATCTGAGTACAAAAGGAAGGCCAAACCTTACCGGCGCCGTTTGAAGGGTGATTTTGGCATATCAGCTGTGGGGATCATCTGCTCTCCCGGCCTCACCCACATGATGGGCCCATCGTCACTCTGGGACCTGCACTGCAGCCGGAGACTGGAAAGAGTCCCCCAGGGCAGAGTCATCTAAAAGAAACAGGAACAAAACAACCCACAAAACACACATAACACAAAACACTGGGTGAGATAGAAAAATTAAATGATGCCTTTGGTAAAACTGGTTCAAATCTGCTGGCAAAAGAATTGCATAGAAACTAAGTTTGAGAGGTAAAAGATATTCCAAGCTAATTCTATCAAGCATAGTTTTTAGGGAAGTAGAAGTGCATGTAGTGCAAGTATATATAATAAACTTGGTTATTTTTAATTAGCCACCTCAGTTCATGCCTTTCAACTGGACACAGGAAAGAATGAACCTCAGCAGCCCAAATAAGCACATCAACAAAGAAAATACCTTACAGTTTCTAATTACTTAGAACCCTAGCAATTGCTTAAATATCTACATTCTCTGAACACACCACAAGTTAGTGCTTACTCTAAGAAATGGAGATTCTTCCAACATGTCTAGGAATTCTGGGAAGTAGTCCCCCACTTCTTCATCCACGGCTCCCACCAGGCTGATCTGGCGCATGGGTCCTGCTCTGTAGGTGCCACAGCAGTACGTCCGATTGACCTGCACAAGGAGACACCACACCACCACAGCTTCAGCTCCCTCTCAGGAGGGCAGAGACTGATCTAACACAGCTGGGGGCAATCTTGGACTCGTCCACATCTGTTTCAGCAGATGGGCCTCTGGGATATGCACAGGGACTGTTTAGAACAGAGGAGAAAAAGGACTCCTGCCTGGACTCCTGACAGGAAATCCTCCTGCAGTCTGAATAACAGCAAGTGAGTATTTGACTAATTCAGGAACAATCCAACACTTCCAGGCTGAGTTGAGAAAACAACCACACAAGGTTTCATTGTGACTCAGTCTTTCACCAGCAAGCTTCAACTCTCCACTAGTTTATGCATTTGGACTTTTGCTTCTACATTTCAAAGCGGATGCTCCTGGGACACGCACATTCCTCATTTCAGCCCTGTCCCCGAGGTCCTTCCCCTGGCCTGCAGCGAAAAACCTCAAGGTCTTTCATGCAGTGGTTCTGGGGATAGTATACACAGGAAACTGGACAAAAACCAGATGAAATGAGGGGTTTATCTGGAAAGCCAGTGCTCACGGAGAAGAATTTTAGGACAGCCATTTGCAGTAGAACCTGCTGTCAGTGCTGGGGTCAGAAACACTTTAATCTCACAGCTCGTGGACACCCTCTAGAACACACACTGTCCCACTTTGCTGGCTCATCTGGAAACTTTTCTCGCTAATTTCCTGTTCCCAGAGGAGAGGCACTGGCAGGACTCCAGTGCTCTGCAGCCTCATACTATGGAGAGCAGCTGGAATGTGCCATGTGGCCACAGAGCAGGTTCTGTGCAGGCAGCACAGCGAGCTGGCCTGGCAGAGCACAAGTTCTACAGAGCAAAGTCTGCTTTGCACCGCCAGCTGAGGCTGAGCCCCAGCCCTCCAGCACCCTTCAGTGCTCCAGGGTGAAAAACTCCAGCTGCTCTCCATGGCTGAGTGGTGGGACAGCACAGACAATTACAAACGTGCAGTTTAACAGTCGTGTTCACCCAGTGTCATGCATTTTAGAACTCCGCTTATAGGTATATGGATGTAGCAGCTTTAAGTTTAGTTTCAGTTTTGCATGTGTAGCCAGCAAACCAGATGTCATTAAACTACTCCATGCAGTTGTTAAAGTTAAATTAGGAGAGACTAATAAAGGAAGAATAGAGAGTTACTGCTGCAATTTTATCCTCCAGCAGCAGCCATACATATTTCACTTCTTAATGATACAAGTTTAGCTCACTCTATTTGCTGAATGCAGTTCAGAGCAGGAGCACTGGAACACCACAGCAATATTTTTGTTCTGTGCACATACAGAAAAACTAAGGACTGAAGTGCTCTGGTCCTTATCCAGTGAAGTTTAACTGCCTGGCACTGTTTATGTAAGTGCAGACAGACTCCTTCCAGATGAGTTCTGTGCTACTGAAACCACCTGGTGAGAGTCACTGGTATGTTACAGGTGTTTGTCATGAGTTAAAATTAATTATAATTCCATATGCAGCTTTTCCTTGGAATGTTTTCAAAGGAAATGAAAAATTAGAAGCTTTAACTTTGTTTTCTTTTTAAATGCACTGGAACAATGGAAAAATAGATAAGAATTCAGGAGTTATAAAGGAAACAGAAGAAATACTTTAGGGAAACACTGGATTTCAATGCTTTGCTAGTTTTTAACAGCAATTAAAGGAATATACACCCTTGAGAATTAAAGCCAGGACATGTTTATACTGACAACATGCACCAACCCACGGCAATCCCCAGCAGGCTGTATTATTCATCTCAAGCACCTCAATCACAGGGAATGTAGTCTGCTAGCTCAATATGCCATAAAAAACTTCTTCACAGTGTCTCTCATTCCTAATTCCTCCCGAGCAGCAAACACTGGTTAGGCCAGTGGCCTCCACAATGATGCAATGAGCATCTCAAAGAACAGGCACCTTGCTCTCCCTTACAGCTGCGTGGTGTAGTGTCCCATGAGTAAGCACCCTGCTTGCTGCACTGCAAGCTGCTCTGGCCTTTCATCAGCAGCTGCTCCAGATTCCCTCTGAGCTCTGCTCACAGTCACCTGTGTGCACCCCTCATTGAGGGAAGAGAGCTGACATGATGAAATAGCTCAAGTCACTTCACTATATCCACTAGAACCTCTCTCAGTGTTTTGTGTTTTTTACTTTTGTTTAAAGTTCAACTCTTGTTTAGGAATTTAGCTGGGGTCACTCCAGTTCACACGGCTGCCAGAAGTCAGGAACTTTTTACCACAGCACCTCCCTTGCTACAATTTGTTCCCTGTGCTGCTTTAAAGCAGCAGTGGATCTCCAGCAGGCACTGCCACTGTTGTACTGCTGCAAAAGGACAATGGGGCCAGTAAGACAGCTCAGGCAGCCTGTGCCCTTTCAAATGCCACCCAGCCATGACTGCTGTGTGTACCCCCCACTCAGTTATGGGCACATTTAAAATTAGCTCCAGTGCTCATGGAGACATTTTCTCGAGCTGCACCATGTGCCTATCAGAGTTTCCCACACTGGTGAGAGCAGAGGCAGACTGAGGCAGTGTTTCCTGTCAGAGGCTCAGAGCTGGTGTTTATTTGCACGTTCCTGAGGCACCCCAGCCTCACCACGGGTTAAGTGAGCAGCACAGGATGAGCAGAGGACACGCAGATGAGGCATCAGCTGGAGACAAATGAGGTTAAGTCTCTGAAGTTTCTCTCCAGTTGCAAGAAAAGCATGAATCAGTTGACAGCAACAATATTTCAGCATGCCAAGTCAGCTATAAAACCAACCACACAAAACCTTGGCTACAAGGAAGAAAGCAAGAGCACCAGGCTGGCTCCTGCTGAAAGACAAGGCAGTGACATGCCAGCACACCGAGGGTGACAGCCTTGACTAACATCTGACACAGTGCATTTCAGTTTTGCATGTGTAGCCAGCAAACCAGATGTCATTAAACTACTCCATGCAGTTGTTAAAGTTAAATTAGGAGAGACTAATAAAGGAAGAATAGAGAGTTACTGCTGCAATTTTATCCTCCAGCAGCAGCCATACATATTTCACTTCTTAATGATACAAGTTTAGCTCACTCTATTTGCTGAATGCAGTTCAGAGCAGGAGCACTGGAACACCACAGCAATATTTTTGTTCTGTGCACATACAGAAAAACTAAGGACTGAAGTGCTCTGGTCCTTATCCAGTGAAGTTTAACTGCCTGGCACTGTTTATGTAAGTGCAGACAGACTCCTTCCAGATGAGTTCTGTGCTACTGAAACCACCTGGTGAGAGTCACTGGTATGTTACAGGTGTTTGTCATGAGTTAAAATTAATTATAATTCCATATGCAGCTTTTCCTTGGAATGTTTTCAAAGGAAATGAAAAATTAGAAGCTTTAACTTTGTTTTCTTTTTAAATGCACTGGAACAATGGAAAAATAGATAAGAATTCAGGAGTTATAAAGGAAACAGAAGAAATACTTTAGGGAAACACTGGATTTCAATGCTTTGCTAGTTTTTAACAGCAATTAAAGGAATATACACCCTTGAGAATTAAAGCCAGGACATGTTTATACTGACAACATGCACCAACCCACGGCAATCCCCAGCAGGCTGTATTATTCATCTCAAGCACCTCAATCACAGGGAATGTAGTCTGCTAGCTCAATATGCCATAAAAAACCTCTTCACAGCGTCTCTCATTCCTAATTCCTCCCGAGCAGCAAACACTGGTTAGGCCAGTGGTCTCCACAATGATGCAATGAGCATCTCAAAGAACAGGCACCTTGCTCTCCCTTACAGCTGCGTGGTGTAGTGTCCCATGAGTAAGCACCCTGCTTGCTGCACTGCAAGCTGCTCTGGCCTTTCATCAGCAGCTGCTCCAGATTCCCTCTGAGCTCTGCTCACAGTCACCTGTGTGCACCCCTCATTGAGGGAAGAGAGCTGACATGATGAAATAGCTCAAGTCACTTCACTATATCCATTAGAACCTCTCTCAGTGTTTTTTACTTTAAACAAAAGTTCAACTCTTGTTTAGGAATTTAGCTGGGGTCACTCCAGTTCACACGGCTGCCAGAAGTCAGGAACTTTTTACCACAGCACCTCCCTTGCTACAATTTGTTCCCTGTGCTGCTTTAAAGCAGCAGTGGATCTCCAGCAGGCACTGCCACTGTTGTACTGCTGCAAAAGGACAATGGGGCCAGTAAGACAGCTCAGGCAGCCTGTGCCCTTTCAAATGCCACCCAGCCATGACTGCTGTGTGTACCCCCCACTCAGTTATGGGCACATTTAAAATTAGCTCCAGTGCTCATGGAGACATTTTCTCGAGCTGCACCATGTGCCTATCAGAGTTTCCCACACTGGTGAGAGCAGAGGCAGACTGAGGCAGTGTTTCCTGTCAGAGGCTCAGAGCTGGTGTTTATTTGCACGTTCCTGAGGCACCCCAGCCTCACCACGGGTTAAGTGAGCAGCACAGGATGAGCAGAGGACACGCAGATGAGGCATCAGCTGGAGACAAATGAGGTTAAGTCTCTGAAGTTTCTCTCCAGTTGCAAGAAAAGCATGAATCAGTTGACAGCAACAATATTTCAGCATGCCAAGTCAGCTATAAAACCAACCACACAAAACCTTGGCTACAAGGAAGAAAGCAAGAGCACCAGGCTGGCTCCTGCTGAAGGACAAGGCAGTGACATGCCAGCACAGCGAGGGTGACAGGCTTGACTAAAATCTGACACAGTGCAGGACCACTGGGCATTGTTTCTATGGCTTTAGTGACAAACCAAATGAAGGATTCAGTACACATGCACAATTTCTCCATTTCATACTTTGGTAGCTACTGCTAAAAAAAAGAAATTGCCCTTCCAGAATCAGAGAAGTTCACATAGGGCAGACAATCATGGGATGTGGTTCATGAACCAAAGCTGTCAGGAACAGAGCAACCCTTCTGAACAGCAGGAGTAAGAAAACTCACAGTTATCACCTGTTGGCTGCTTCTCTCACCTGCTTCCAGAAGGAAGAGCAGCTTATGCAAAACCTGCTTCCCCAATTCTCCTTCTTGGCCCCTTCCCAGAACCCCCACACACCCTCTGTGACAGTGTAACTGTTTGGATCAGAGAGAATTCATCAGGCAAGCTGATCAGTTGGGAAAAAAAGCAGAATTTTTTTTTTTAAACTCTAAATATATTCCCATTCACTGAGTGAAAGCAGTTGTACTGAAACAAGTGATAAGGAAAATAAGAGTTCATTCTAGCTGCACAGCAAAGAGCTTCCAAATTAAAGTGTGCCCTTATGTGGGGAAAGCTTACAAATTACTGCTCAGTGATTTGAGTCTTGAAAGCTCTCAGCCCAAGTGAACAGCTCCACACTAAAGCTGAGCTCCAGCTCCAAAGCTTGAGAGCCAATGCAAGCAAAAAATCCACAGGACACTGAAGCTTAATTATTTTAAGATACTGAAACCAAACATTTATGTAACACATACACATTGGAGTACTTTGCTATAAACTCACTGCTCTGAGAACAAAGGAATTCACCTTGCAAGGCAGTTAATTATCACTAGACTTACCAAGTCCTTCCGATTAAAGTCCTTATTTTGAATATTACAATTCAGTTTCTCTAAAAACACAAACCAGCTGAATGTCGTGCAAGCCAAAGGTCACATTAACTTGCAATTTACAGAACAAATTTTGATTTCTGAACGCTGAATCTTCAGGATTCAAGACTCCCTAAAGCTCCCAAATCCCTTGGCACAGGTCAGTGCAGCAAACAAACTCATACACAGAGAAAGAACACAGAATGGAGGCAACTTAATTGAAAATAATCAGTGTTACAGCCTACAACAGTGCAACATGTTTCACCTGTTGAAGCACAACCACGAAGTGCTTCTGTACTGTACAATTCTCCTCAGAAGGGTGAAAAGTGAAGCTTGGCCAACCTGACCCTCACCAGAACCACCAAGGAACAGGAGCACTACAGCCAGGTTGATCACCCCAGGCCCTGGAGCAGGGCACTGCAGCTTGCTCCACTCCAAGACAAGCCAGCCTGCTAAACCCGAGTGACCCACACCAATTTCTATGTTTCTTCAGCTTTTCCATCATCTGTGCTCCCTGAAGAGCCTGCCCCAGCTGCCTGAGACAGCTCCCCTGTCTGTCAGGGCACTCTCCCTGAGCAAACACACTTCAGCCAGAGAGGATTAACCAGGTCATGCAGGAGCTGGGTTTACAGAAGTGGTTTAGACCAACTGAACCTTATGTCATGACTCAATCAAGTTTAGACAGTACTTAAAATAGAATTAATTGAAGTAGCAGCAGACTATAACCCAGCAAAGCCTCTTATTTATTACCATACATTCCTCACGTGTATTTATAGTGCCAGTATTCATGTTCACAGAACATTCACCAAGAAAAAAATGCAATTGTTAAACATTCCAGAGGCTCTGCTTAGCCATCTCAGGGGTCATCAAGCCAGAATGCAATCAGGACACTAAAGAACACAGACAAATCACTAATACAGAAGACTTTAAAGCCTGACCTGTGCACACATTTGACACCTGCAGCACACAGGTGTGTGCTGTGCAGAAGTGCTGCTGCCCACAGCAGAGGTTCATATGCTCAGAGATTGTTTTGGGGTGCTCTGCACCCAGACACAGCTCTGTCAACACAAGGAATTATTTACACCAAGAAAGAGAAGCTGGTTAAAATAAGTGCTGCAGCAGCAAATCACTGCCAAACAAAAAGCCAAGTGGCAGAATTATTCATTTAATGCTATTCAAAGACTCCACAGCAACCATGCAGTAACTTTCCCTAAAGCGGTAATGGTTTCTCCAATGCAAATCTTTCTTACAAGAGTGTTTGGTAAAGCCTGCAGAGATCCAAATAACCCATCCACAAGCACTAACACTCCAAAGTCTGTTGTTAAAGGTGTGTTCCTATCACACTGAACTGAACTCCATTACAGAGTTTCAGATTTATCCCCCCAACAGGTGAACTAGTAAATGTAATTGATGTCTCAAGACCTTAAAGGTAATCAGCACTTTGGATCCATTCTCAGACTAAACAGAAAGAAGCTTTATTCCATCAAAAAGAATTTTATCTAAGCTGTGATCTTGTGGTGTACTCATACATACTTCTGAATTTGATCACAAGACTAAAATCCAAGAGACTTTAACACAGGAATCTTAAAATTAGCTCCATTTTTACTGTTGCATCCATTTAAGTTACATGGAGATACAGTTTCAGAATTTAAACTAGTTAAAGCCTACCATGGAAACCAAGGGAGTAAACAAAATGAAACTCCTTTTCAAAGGCAATTAAAAAGATCTTCTAAGCCCTGACAAGTTAGAAAGTTTAAACAGCATAAGGCACTGAGGGAATTTAGATGTTAAAAACCTGGTAAAACAGATACACTGAAACATGAAAAGTAACATCATTGCAAAAAAACCCCAAGACCCCAAAACCAAACCCCAGCTCTGTTGACCAGAAAAGCAGTGTCAGCATTTGCAGTCTATGCAGTTCTTGCCATAGACTTGGCTGCTGTTTGGAACAATCTCAGTGTTTTTCCAAGTTTAGAAGAAAAAGATGCTCAGTGCAGATCTTCCCTCAGGTCACAGGTAGCAGTGTCTGATGTGTGATTCACCAGCTACCAGGGAGCACAGAAAAGCTTTCAGCAGAAGCAGGAATACACAGCACAGCAGAATAGTCCTAACATCACCTTTCTTCACCTGCTTGGAAAATACATTTATGACTCGCCTATTTTAAATCCTATCTGCTCTGGGTTACTGAGATTAATCAAATCTAGGTCTTGTGCAACACTTGTGCATTTGAATAGCTCTTACCTGAGAGTGAAAATTTGAAATTGTTGTTGTTTCAATGTCCTTCTTGCCCAAAATTTCCATTTTCACTGGAGTGTTTGGAAAGTTAAAAGCAAAGTAATCCAGGAAGTCTGGTAAATAGGCAGCTGCTCCGTGCACTATGGCTAAAGCATAGTAAGCTGCATTTTTATCATTTTCACTGAATGACAACGCAAGAAACTCTTCTGCAAATCTCTCCATCTCCACTGGAGACAAAAATGAGAGTTCATCCATGTAAGCGTGCAGGACCAGGGCACCTCCATTGGACTGGTGCTCCTCGTGAATGAAGTTACTGAATTTAGTGCCAGTCTTCAGGAAGCTGCTGCGCACAGAGTGCTCCTGGTGCGTCACAAAGGGGGTCTGTACTCCCTGGGGGACCCGGTACTCCTGCATGCCCAAGTTCAGTCTGCACAGCTGCTCATCCTTCAGGTACCTGAAGGACTCCTTGCTCATTTCCAGGCTGTCACACTGTCCTTGAGACAGAGTCTCCTTGTCAATGCGAGTGAGCCCAGCACACACTGTCTGCACCTCTTTGTTGTACATCTTCAGGCGCTTTCCCCTCACATCTTCCCGGTGTTTCTTTTTCTTTTTTTTCTTTATCTTCTTCATAATAAGACTGTCAGCTCGCTGGGTTTTGCCATTTTCATCTGGAGTTTCTGGCAGCGACAATAAAGAGAAGATTAGAGTTCTGCAGTTGCAGCATATTCACCCCAAAAGAATTCAGGCCTCTCACTTGCTGAAGGGATCTATTCCCAGGGAGACTGACCAATTGTAAAACATTGCATTTTTGGTAGTATAATTAAGTCAAAAGTCAGGGTACCTATAATTATACAAATAAAGCCTTGAATTAAGGAAACCTTACAAAATTCTAGCTTAATATTTCAGAAATACTTCCATTTTTAACAGATTTATTAGAACACCTTTAAAAGGAGTCTGCATTTCAGAGCATCTATAATTAAGTACATTAATAACTTCTGACATTTAAGGCAGTGCCGTACAGGGGAAGAGGATAAACAAGTATGTGTAACATTTAAACTTTAAGACTTTCATTACAGAACACTTCCCTGATTTTGGATACACAATACAGAAACAAACAGAGTAGCATTGAAGAGCTACAAGCTTTACTTACATTTACAAGTAAAAACACTTCAGTAAAGCTTAGATTGCTGGTCTTTTAAAATTAAAGGACCCAAATCATCACATCAACAGATTCAGACTTATAGTTAATGATTCAGTTAATGGAGAGAAAGAAATTAAGAGCCTGTTTCAGTTATTTGGGTTCTTTTTTTGAGGTTAATCAACCTCTAAAAGGCTGGGAGATAAAATGTAAAGAAGTAGTTCTGTCAGGCAAAATGGAATAGCTTAAGTTGTTCTTCTTTCAAGAATAAAAACTACTTCAAATAACATTTAGCAAGGGACAAAGGTAATTAGAAAACTTGATGGCCCAGCTGTTACAAACTCAATTGCCAAGACAAGATTTTAACGTGCCTGAATCAAAGAACCATTCCATGCAACAGTGCCCATAAATCTCCAGGAGCTGTGTGAGCAGGACAGCCGTGGGGATGAGAACAACCTGCTGCTGAGGGCAACACCTGACTGAAGACACAGTAACTCAAGTTTTAGCATTTCCCCTCAGCACAGGGCTTTGTCCTAATGAAATTTCCTTTCTCTGGCTGCACACTGGTATTCCCTCTTTATTCTCTTAGAGCACTTAAGTTAAAGAAAAAAACCCATGTTCCACTGTTTTATGAGAAAGGGTGCAGTGCTAAACACAGGCAGCTCCAGGTTCTTCAGTGTAACCAGTGTTTAACTGGATCATTACTGGTTTGGTCTCGTTACTGGAGAGGGCTGACCTTCACAACAGCCTGGAGTAAGGAACAGAGTTACTCATGGAGCAAAGAAAGAGCCAATTGCTTAATCCTCGCTTCATACAATAGTCTTAGGACCTGAAATACAAGTTTTCCCCGTGCTGCTGCAGCCCTTGCAAACTGCAAAGGCCCTGATCTTTCTATTTCAGAGAAACCAGGAAAAGCAGGGCGGTATCACTTGCTCAGGGAAGCCAACTGAAACGGTTCTTGGAACGAGGTTTGCTGCAGGACTCCGATGTGAGGAGGGCATGGTTGCTCAGCCACTGGGCTCTGAGCACAGACACTGCTTCACTCACCGAGGGAACGTGCAACTCACACGCCAGGTATGTGTCCTGCTGGGACCAGAGACCCCAAGCTGCAGTAAACAAGGATTTCAGGCCACCACTGTGCTGCTGGGAACGCTTCCCTACGCGCATTTCTAAGGACACTCGGTTGTTAAAGGTTTCTTAGTGTAAACATTTCTGATTGCAGGTATAGTTTTAAAACCTCACACATTTCAATTCAGAGCATCTTCCTGTTTGAAGCCATATCCTAATAATAGGGAAATCCTTGCATTTTGGAGGTTCCAGGGAGCACTTGTGTGTTTGCAGGATAAAAGCTGTCCTGGCTGCTGCTGGATCCATTGAACACAGCAGAGTCCCACTACTACAGTGAGTAACTGCTGGATTCAGTGAAGATAAACAGTGACATTAGAATAATGCCTGGCAATCCTGAAGGAAATATAGCTTTAATTATTCCTTTAAATAAACAGAAAGCCTCCAGCACCTCAAACACAAAGAAGCTGTGGACAGGTCACTAAACCATGGGCTCTGCAGTGAGGCAGAGTGACAGCAGTGCAAAAACTCAGCTACTCTGAGATGATCAGACATCCCACAACAGAACCAGAACCATTATTAAACAGCAAAAACAGTGGGGGTGTTCCCTGTCACCTGGGGCCACAGATAAGCATGGCACAGTCAATGTAACGGGTAATTTAATGAGATTATAAATCAAAATAAAAATGGATAGTCAGGAAAAGAAACAGCCCCATCCCAAAAGGCACAACCCCTACAGCTAAGGGCAGGCAGGGAAGAGCTTCACATGAGCAAACAGCTTTCCTGTACAAATCTGGAATTTTGATGCTCATTTTCACACTGTTTAAGCCTTCATTAAGAGGCCTAATTTAATTCTGGGTTAGAACTGACACAGTGACACTCCAGTCTACAAAGTTATACACTGCTCCAAACTTTTGCTTGATAAACACTGATAAAACTGTGGAGGTTTACATTCAGAAGTTTTTATAGTCATTATTCAAGCACAGTGGTGGGGAAGCATTAACCAGTGGAGAAAGGCCTCTCCTGGTACTAGTTTTGTCTGTTTTTAAGACAGTCCTATCTAGACTTTACAGACACTTCTGTAAGCAACTGCATCTTTGGTTTCTTTGGCACAAAACCTGCCCATACACTCCTCAAGCATAATTCACCACGTTATACTTTTAATTACAGTAGCTTTTGCAGTTATTTTTTATCTATGTTGCTCTCTCCAAGAAGCTTTTTACTATAACAAATCTCTGAGCAGAACCAAAACAATCACTCTGCACTGTTAAAAAAAATATAAACAAAACCACACACAGCACACGCCAAAATCCAGAGATATTTTGGCCTTTTAGTAAAAGCAAACACAGAATAATTCAGGCTGGAAGGGACCTCTGGAGATGATCCAGCAAAACCCCCCTGCCAAGGCAGGGTCACCTGGAGCAGGTGACAGGTTTGGAATATCTCCAGACAGGGAGACTCCAGGAACTCCGTGGGCACCTGTTCCAGTGCTCTGCCTCCCTTCACTGAAAGGAATTCTTCCTCACGTTGAGGAGGAGCGTCTCGTGTTTTAGTTTATGGCTATCCTGCCTTGCCCTGTTGCTGGGCACCCCTGAAAACAATCTGGCACCATCCCCTGACAACCGCATTGGAAATACTCACACGGAATCACGAGACCCCTTATTAAAACCAGCAATTAAAAATAAAGAAAAACAAAAACCCAACAAGCCAGCAGCTCCTCACACGTGAAGAAGCCTCCACTCCCACGGCACCTGCACGCTGACCCTGCCATGAGGGCGATTCTGACAGCAGCAGCAGCAGCAGCAGCGCGGCCGCCCCGCGCTCCGTGCCCGGGGCAGCACAGCCGGAGCAGGGCCGCCGAGCCCGCCGCGCTGCCGCCGCCCGCGGCGGGGCCCGCGGGGCCGGGCGGGCCGGTCCGCTGAGGGCGGCGGCGGCTCCTCCGGGGCCCGCGGCACCGCGGCGACCTGCGCGGCCATTTCAGGGGCTCCCTCACACACATTTAAATGGCCCGAGCGCCGGGCGCCGCCGCGCACGCGCGGCCGCGGGGCACCCTGGGACCTGTAGTTCGGGGGGAGAGGGATGGGTGCGCGTGCGCGCGGCGCGGGTCACGTGGGCGGTGCGAGGAGGGCGGGAAAGCGCTGAGGGAGCGCGGGGCCGGGGAGGGCGGAGGGGTGAAAAACTTTTATTTTAATGGCTTTTGTCGCTTGTTCTGAAGTGCTGCGCCCCTTAAACGCCGGCCACGGGGTGCTGAGGAGGCTTTCCCCCTGAGGGAGATGATGTGGAGCTGTTGGAGCGAGTCTAAGGCGGCCGTCCTTGCCCGTGGCAGTGGGATGGGATAAAATTATTGAATCATAGAATGTTAAGGGTTAGGAGGGAACTTAAAAATCTCCTTTTACCCGCTGCCATGGGCTGGGGCACCTTCCACCACAGCAGGGTGCTCCAAACCCTGTCCAGCCTGGGCAAAACATGAATACAATTTAGGTAAAGGCTTTCACTGTTTTCTGCTGTTAAGACACCCTGTAATAAAAACAGGCATACAGGTTTTTTTACAGTAATAAAAATATAGCAATATTGGCTATTCCCCCAACTTTAAACCAGCTGAGTTTCCCATTCCAGCAGTGGTCAGCAGATTCTTCTTGACCAAATTCCCAAAATCCTGCCTTGGTTGGTGGGGCTTTTTTGAGATTTGGTTTTTCCTCCCCAGTCCTCACAGGAACAGAATCATGTAAAGCAATGTTCAGCATCTTTATCCCTCCCCACTGATCAATGGAATCTGGGGAGGAATCTGGCAAGAAATCTCCCCTGTTCCCACCTGAAATTCTGTGCTGTAGAGTGACCAATCCTTAAAAACAGCACTGGTTTAAAACACAATAATATTTTGTTTGCTGTCATGGTGTTTTGGGATTTTTTTTCCCCAGACAAAAGAGCATCTAGGTCAGCCACTTGTGCAGTTACATTGGTTTAGTTTCCATGGGATCAATCAGCATCCTAAGTCTTATTGCCCCAAAATCCAGAAAAATGCTCTTATTCACTCAAACAAACAAACAAACAAACAAAAAAAAACTAACCCAAAATCCAGAAAAATGCTCTGATTCACTCAAAAAAAAAAAAAAAAAAAAGCTTATTTAGAAATTATTATTTCTAAAATTTGGGAATCTAATTCCCCCTTAGTCCAAGTCATGTAAACATTTCAGTGTCTTTGATTACAGCAGACCTACAAACGTGAGAGAGGGTCTTGATCACCTCACTCAGCTCCCTTGGCTTTCCAGTTCATTCCAGAGCCTTCACTGGGTCCCATCATCAGTTTATGCTCAAATCCATCCTTTTGAAGTGATTATATTCCAAAATACAAGAATATGCCCCTCCTTAGGATAAAACTTGTATTCCAAGGTTTGCCTTCCATCCCGCTGCGAATTAACTGCAAGCTGCTGGTACTTTTACATTCTCGATTTAAAACTCCGTTTTTAAATTCAGTGAATGTGGAAGTAGTGCCTGAGCTGCCAATACTGTGTAACAGCTTTGGATGTGTTTATTTTGGTGGGAGCTTCACTGGGATGGGCACTCCAAGTATTTCAGGGTGGTTTCACAAATCTGCAGCGCCAAGTCTGTAAAATGCATCTAAATGTTCCATGCTGGGGGTGGATTTCTTGGTCCTTTGGGTTTTGAAAATCGATTTGCAAAGCCTAGGAACAAATGATATGTTTTTTAATGCAACAAATTCTGTATGTTACAGATGCTGATTATGTAGTCCCTTAAAATAACACAGGAATTGAAAATACTTGCCATTTCAGATCTTTCCCAAGTGTTAAGATATGACAGAAAAGCAACATCTCTTCGTTGCAAATAAAGTTGTAAATGTGTAAAAGCTAAATATGTAAAACCCAAAGAGCATTATTTGAAATATTTGTAGTTTGTAAGTGTTCTGCCTGGCATTTAGACTTCCAAGAACCAGGTTCTTCCTACCAAAACACAAAGACCAAAACATACCAAAGTTAAGGAAAGACCTCGGAGAGTTTGTTGGGGCAGGTTCTGATGATTTTATCAGTGAAGATGGACTGCAGATGCCTAGAAATAAAAAATGAGACTGGAGCAGCTGGTCACTGCTCCAACACATTTAAATACCTGCTCAAAGCCATTGCAAAGATATTAGGCTGAAAACTTACTTTTTCTCACATTTTTCAATATTTTCAAGCTCTGTAAAAAAAAAAAATAGAAAAAGGCCAGTTGGAAAAAAATGTGTGAAGCAGTGGATCAGCAACTGTGGTAAAGGGAATTTGCTGGTAATGCACATCTATAAAAACACTGATAAATGTGCATGTGGGAATTCAGTGTCACTGTGCCAGAGCTCTTCTCTCCCCTTTTTTTCCCACAGCTTTTGTTTCTTTTACCTTGCTCCTCCTGAAGCATTTAATGAGTTCTTTGGATGATGTTCCTGAGCCCTTGTTCTCCAAACCCGCAGGACTTGAGGAATTTCTTGCAGCAGGCTGGAGACCTGGGAACATACATGATATGTACATTTTCAGTGGTCATTCACAACTCCTCCTGCTTATTTCTTGTTGCTGCTTTTCATCTCCTCTAACGCAGCACTTCTAGAAATTTTCTGCAGGTTCCCTACTTGTGTTTATTTTCGTTGTGTTTGCTGAACTCTCCTGCAGGGAAGTGCTGAAGCACTACCTGGCAATGCTTTGAGCAGGTGGGCCACGCTCTCAGAAACCTGCAGGTTTAGGTGTGAGTGTAAAACCTCAGTCAGACCCTGAGAGAAGAGCTCAGCACTTACTTGCTGCCTCAGCAAGAACAAACGACTCCGGGGTTCTTTCAGGAAGGGGAGGAGGAGAATTGGAGCGATCCTGGGCTGTCTCTGAGAGAGCAAAGACAAAAGAGTTGGTTCCCTAGCTTTAAAATATTACATATATATATATATGTATTAGAAGCAACCAGCTTATCTCAGCTGTCTCAAAGGAAACACACAACATGCAGACAAAGAGGAGGCTGCAAGGGACATCCTCATGAACAGGATGAGGCAGGAGCTGATTAGGAAACATAAAACTACCAGTTCACTTCTTTGCAGAACTGTTTAGTTCTGGTTGGAACTGTTTAGTTGCAGAACTATTTAGCAACAATTTCCGTTGCACTGAGCACAGATCCTAAACACATTTACTAAATAAAGCAGTTTCAGGGAAAAAAAGCACGTCTTAATTCCAAAGATTATCCCAGCATTAAACTTATACCTGTTCGTGGGCTCCAAAGCTTCACACTCTGGAAACAAAACACAAGGCAGGTATTTAAAATTCCCACACCCAAATGTTGTTTTCTTGCACACAAGGAAGGAGGAAAGGATGTGATGTGCAAACAGCCTCCCACATACACCTCCATGCTCGAGTAGAGGAAGACAGCCTTGTGCCTCATTCTTCCACTTCACAGAGCTGTCACTCAGCTATGGGATCATCAACAGACGCCTAAATTTTGTTCAGCTCCTGTTGGTTCCACAGGGCTGGTGAAGCTCAGCAGAACAGGAATGTCCTGTCTTCATTATTCTTCTCTAAATGAGGGACAATATGGACAATATGTTTATTACCCTGTACTGGTCTTAGAATCCCAAAAATTAATGTTTGGAGTAAAGTAGATGTTGATAAGAAGGGGCTGGACTGAGGCCCCAATCTTCTTTCCAATCCTGAGCCCTGAAATCCCTTCCCAGTCCTGGAAGTGTTCAAAGCCAGGTTGGACAGGGCTTGGAGCAACCTGTTCTTGTCGAAGGTGCCCATGGATGGGGGGGTGGAATGGGATTTTCTTAAGATTCCCTTCCAACCCAAACTATTCCATGATTCTGTGATTCTATGAAATAATTTCTGGCAAGTACAAAGTGCCAAAAAGTAGAGTCTTTCTCACAGAAGGAAATGTGGTAAGGAGATTGGCATAGGAATAGTGCAGGAAAAGAGGTCAAAAGCCACTTGTACCTTACATGGTCTCAGTCTCACAGGGTCATGAAACCCCTCTGAGTGAGACTCACCACTCCACTCCCAGGAGGTGCCAATATTTGGATTTCTGTCTGGAATCTGGAAATCCGAAGTGGCCTGAGGAAATTGCCCTGGAAGCAGTTGAACACCAGAGAGATCATTGATCATTCCTCATCCCAGGCACTGCCAGATGCCACAGAGCCACCCCGATGCTGGGTGAGCCCCCAGTGCTGCTCAGCCCCATATTTAATATTTTAATCACTCACCCAGCTCACTGGCCACGATGAAGGACTCAGGGGTGCGCTGGGGCAGGGGTGGAGGAGCATCATCATCATCATCATCATCATCAGGCTGTGGCAGGGGGGCTGATTGGGGAGACACACACAGCTTACTGGCATGGCAGGACATGAGGGGATTACTGTGTAGGGGAGGGGGCTGCTCCTGCCCAGAGATTAAGGTTAAACACCTCTAAACTGTGGTTAAACATCCAAATAACTCCCAGCATCAACTGCACGAGGAAAATGAGCATAACCCAGCACAGAGCCAGGCATGCAGCTGGTGGTTCTGCTGCTTGGCTTGGGCTGCACCTCCCAGGAATTCCCAAGAGCACCAGGATAATGAGCATGTCTTTGTGACACTGAATGCTGAGGGGTCTGGGAGGACAAAGTGGAGCAAGTGCCAAAGCTGTGGGCAATAGGAAATGTCTGATTGGAGCAGGACTAACCAGAACAAGGAATAATTCCACCTTTTTCATACAACAGGTGATGGATGTAGTGCTACAGATCTGGGGAAAACACTTGTGATGAGTCATGGAATCATGGACTGGGTTGGGTTGGAAGGGAAAACCATTAAAAACCATTTAGATCCAACACCCCCACCATGGGCAGGGGTGTCACCCAGGTTCTCCCTGAA